GTGATGTGCTTATTCTCATGGTGATGAAGCCTAATGCAGGCATAGTTAACTCTATGATGATTGGCTATGAGCAGCCAATCAATTGAAAGGATGCTTCTTTGGGAGTGTGACCTGCTCCCAATGTAATAGGACATGCAAGAGGGACTCTCTTTCTTCCGTTGGGGGCCTGGGACTCTACAATTGTAAACCATTTCCTTGATAATAAACTTCTGTCTATATATGTATGTTTCACTGCTTTTGTTTCTGTAGAAATTCTGGCCTAAGACATGTGGTACTGAGAGAGTGGGGTTCTAGAGAAACAAAATCATACAGGTAAGTTTTCTGAATTGATGTTCAAGTCTGACTAATTTTGAAGGCAATGAAATAGGGTGGAGTCATGTCTGACCTCCACTTCATAGGACTCAGCCTTGGAATGATTTTGAGTTTGATCCTCTTTCCCTCTTGTGGAGTCCGAGGAGTCACACACTCCCTTGGTTTAATCAGTTGGCGCTATGAGCAAGATTCATTGCAATGGCTCCAGACCTATGAAATTGTGAGGTTTTGTAGGGCAAAGTAAAAAGGGGCATGAGATAAAATACTTAAGCAGAGGGGAGAGCCACTGGAGTTGCCTGGAAACGATGACACCACTGGTTTAAAAGAATGGCTAATACTAAGCCTGGTCCTACTGTAATCTATCTCACCAGAGGCCCAAGGCTATATGCATATGAATGGGGTTAGTCCAAGGGAGAAGAAAAGATAGAACTTGAATGTTTTCAAAGGTTTATGTGTTTGACTTGCCTTATGGATATTGGTTTCTCTTGCCTATTACTATAAAATAGACTTACATGGGTGATGGAAATGAATGCTGGAAATTATGATTTCAGAGAGCTTGCATTCAGCCTATACTTGATTGCCAAAAGGGGAGTTAGATTTTGCCTGGAAAAATTAGGCTTCTTGGTTTAAGCCTTTGCAGAGTATAGGGTGTTAGGCGGGAATCCAGAACACCACCCAGAACCTTTGGAGTTGGTACATTTGCATTTGAAAATATATGCAGACCAACCCAGAACTGCTGGGGGAACAGGAGATCAATGATTGAAAGAAAACAGAGTGTTGTGCATTTTGAGTTTCTGAGGCATCAAGGCAAGGAAAATCAGCCTATCAAAGAAATCCCTCTTCTAAGAGTGAAAGTTAAAGAGCTCTGGCAGCGTAGTGGTTACAAACTGAGCTGCTAACTTCAAGGTCAGCAGTTCGAGTTCGAAACTACAAGCAAGAGAAAAATGAGGCTTTCTGCTCCTGTAAAGATTTACAGCCTCAGAAACCCTGTACAGGGTCGTTTTAAGTCGGAACTGACTCCACAGCACATAACCACCACCACCACCATTACTAGGACTGAAAGTTAAAGGGAACCAGAGAGCTGTATGCTCACTGTTAACCACCTGGGTCTACTTATGAGTGGAATTGGGGGAAATGCTGCAATGAAGATAGGGGCTGAGTTTGGACATGCTCTATTAGTGCTCACTGACCTTAAGATAAGAGGAGAGGAAGATTGGTTGGTCTGAAGTTTAAGGAGCTGTGTGAACTCCCAGATTTGAAACTGGTACCCATTTGGCAAGTTTAGATAGCGATAAAGATTTATGATACTGTGCGTGAATGTAAATTGCTACAATTTGTTGGACTGGACTTTTGCTTACGCATGCAGCTACTCAAAATCCCAACCAGAATGGAAGATTGTTCAGATCAAGGGATATGTTTGTCTCCTCAGTGTACTGGGTTGATTGTAGTTGTTGTTAAGTGCCATCGAGTCAGTTCTGACTCATAGCAACCCTGTATAAGACTTCTGAGGAGCAACTGGTGAGTCTGAATTGCTGACCTTGCGGTTCAAACTGACATTTCGGTCCAGTACCTATCTTACAGTGCCACACCAGGACTCCATTGAGTTGCTAGCACAGGCAATTTAGACATTGGCTATCAGAAATGGGCTACATAAGCATGAAGTGGTTGGTTTACAAGCTTCAGGGGTGCTTAATTTTTTACAATAAGTGGACAAAGGAGAATCCCCACTGAATATCTTTTTCAGATGGATCTGATGAAAGGGAGTAGAAGATGATCCTGACAGGATTTTGATTTGTGAGTAATTGTTAGTAGAGTTAATTGTGATAGTCAAAACTGTAATTGTAACCTCTTGAAAGAAAGACCTGCAGGAAAAATGGAGGCAGATGGACTGTTACTACAAGAACAAACAAATCGCTTCCCTAGGAAACATCAAGGCAAGTGGCCAGGTCCTCTCAACGCAATCCCCCTTCCAAGACTAAGACTCAATGGAAATGCACGCTCTGATTGGTGACCACACACATCACCAATGGGGGGAAATGGGGTAACAGCAGCAATAAAGTGGCAAGCTAAGGCCTACAATGTTCAGTGGACTTCTGTGGACCCAGTTGGGGACCTGGTTGGCAAGCAGTGTGAGGAGACCTGGGGACTCTTGGGCCCAGAGTCAGTGGCGTGGCCTCGGAGGACTCGAGAGGAGAGTGGAGCTACCGGCTGACAGGAAGAGAGGGCATATGCACAGTAGCGCCCACACTTGCAGATGATACCCACGTGACCTAGACTAGATAACTGGATGATCGGAGCTCAACCAGCAGAAGAAAGAAGAGGGAAAAAAAAGAGTGAGCTGATACAATCTGATGAACTTGACCTATACCTATGGAGCAGCAATTCAAAGGAAGGAACAAATCCTTACAGCAAGAATCATTCCCACCCCCTCCACACACAGAGTGGACGGAGATGGGCAACTTGGACATTGGATACTCAAATGGGGAGGAGGGACTACAAAGGCAAGAAGTGACTGGCTTACAAGCTTTTAAGAGGGAACCTAGTGTTAGGGAGCAGGGAGGAAGGCAGAATCTCCAGTGGGTATTATTCAATCTGTCTGGGCGGAGCTGATGAAAGGAAATACAGATAGGTAACTCGTGATACTATAGTGAATAATGGTTATCAGGATGGATTATGAGGGTTGGAAATGCAAAGGTAGACGTTTTGTAAC